ACACACACACACACACACACACACACACACACACACACACACACACAATGGAATATCACTCAGCCATCATACAGAATGAAATCTTGCCATTTGCAACAATGTGGATGGAACCAGAGGGCATTATGCTAAGCAAAATAAGTTAGAGAAAGTCAAATACCACATGATCTCACCCATATGTGGAATTTAAGAAACAAAACAGATGAACATAGGAAAAGGGAAGGAAAAATAAAATAAGATAAAAACAGAGAGGGAGGCAAACCATAAGAGACTCTTAACTATCAGAAACAAACTGAGGGTTGCTAGAGGGGAGGTGGGTTGGGGGTATGGGGTAACTGGGTGATGGGCATTAAGGAGGGCACTTGATATAATGAGCACTGGATGTTATATGCAACTGATGAATCACTAAATTCTACCCCTGAAACTAAGAATACATATATGTTAACTAAATTGAATTTAAATAAAGAATTAAAAAAATTAATGACATAGAAAACAGGATAGTAATAAAGAAAAATCAATTAAAAGGTAGAACTTTGAAAAAATGAATAAAATTGATAAATTTCTAACAAGACTAATCAGAGAGAAGACACAAATTATTACTATCAGGAATGAGAATGGAGACATTGCCCGGTTTCTACAGATAACAAAAAGGCAATAAGCAATTTTATGCCAATACAAAGTCCTTGAAGGGCAAAGATTACCAAACTTCACTCAAGAGAGAGGTAAGATGAACAGCCCTATATTTATTAAAGAAGTTGAATTTGTAGTTAAAAGGTTGGAATACTTCTCAACTCAACTTGTAGTTAAAAGGTTGGAATACTTCTCAACTCAATCTATGAAGCCAGCATTATCCTGATACAAAAACCAGACAAACACATTATAAGAGGGAAAAACCCCGAAAAACCCAGCAAAAACCCGAAAAACCCAGCATCACTGTTGAACATAGTTGGAAAAAATCTAAACAAGATTTTAGCAAATTAAATTCAACAATGTATCAAGTCACTATGACCAAATGAGGTTTATCTTGCCAATTAAGATTGCATTAACATTAGAAATCAATGTAATTCATTATACTAAAACTTTAAAAAAAGAAAAATCACATAATCATTTCAACAGATACAGAAAAGTTGTCTAACAAAATTCAACACCCATTCAAAAAAAATCTTAGCAAATTAGGAATAGAAGGGAATTTATTCATCTGATAAAAGCTATCTATGACAAAACAACAGTTAATATTATGCCTGGTGAAAGACTGTTTTCACAGTAAGTTCAGCAAGAAAAACATGTCTTCTCTCACTACTTCTATTTAACATTGTATAGAGCTTATAGCCAGGGTAATAAAGAAAAAGAAATAAAGGCAACCAGGTTTGTAAGGAAGAAGTAAAACTGCCTTTATTCCCCAAAGACATTACTGTGTATGTAGAAAGTCCAACAGAATCTACAAAAAAACAAAAAGCAAAACAAAACAACAAGAACAACAAAAAACTACTGGAACTATTAAGTGAACTTAGCAAGTCTGGAGCACACAAAGTCAATATACAAAATTATTTGTACTTCTATATGGTAGCAATAATCATTGGAAATTGAAAAAAAATTTAAATGCCATATACAATAGAATGAAAAATATGAAAATAATTAGGGATAAATCTGACAAAAGATGCCCACAACCTGTTCACTGAAAACTACAAAATACTGCTGAGAAATGAAGATTTGTATTGTGATCATGGATTGAAAGGCTCAAAACTGCTAAGATAGTAATTCTCCTCAAATTGATCTACAGATTCAACAGTCAAAACCATAGGTTTTTTTAAAAATATAAATTGAAACTCTGATTCTAAAATTTATGGGGAAATGCTAAACAATTAGAATAGCCAAGCAACTTTGAAAAAAAATTTCAAGGACTAACACTACCTAATTTTAAGATTTACAGTAAAACTATGGTCATCAAAACAATGTGGTATTGGTGTCAAAACAGACCAATAGATCAATGGAGCAAAGAGAGTTTCTGGACATAGACCCATACATTATAAGGACAACTAATTTTCTTTCCTATTTTTTTTAAATATTTTATTTATTTATTTGACAGAGAGAGACACAGCGAGAGAGGGAACACAAGCAGGGGGAGTGGGGGAGGGAGAAGCAGGCCTCCCGCCGAGCAGGGAGCCCGATGTGGGGCTCGATCCCAGGACCCTGGGATCATGACCTCAGCCGAAGGCAGACACTTAACGACTGAGTCACCCAGGCGCCCCAGGACAACTAATCTTCAACAAAAGTACAAAGGCAATACAGTGGAGAAAGAATAGTATTTTTAAGAGATGGTACCGGAACAACTGTATATCCATATGTGAAAAAAAAGGAACTTCGGCCATACCTGTACCATATAAAAAATTAACTCAAAATGAATCACAGATCAAAATG